ATCCAGAAAGCTGGGGTGCTATGGACCAGCCAGTCTCTTAGGGCAAATCTCCCCCCCCCCCCGATTTGTCACTTGCACATTAAGGCTATTGGGTCAAATAAGTGATTCTCAGTGGGGGTGCTACTACATCCAGGCACTTAATGGAAGTGCTTGGGAACAGTTTTGGTTGTCACGACGACTGGGAGATTGTTACTGGCATTGAGCTGGTGGGGTCGAGGAAGATAGATGTCTAACTAGGGGGAGCACAGCCTCACTCAACAAAGTATTTTCCTTTGAACTGTGTGATTTCCAAACGTCCCATAGGATATTGGTGTGATGAAATTCCTATTTATAATGAACTGAATCTACAATCTAACTTAGTTTTACATGTAAAGGCAAAAAATTTTTGGTTTTTTTTTCCCCATAGTTTCCAGAAATATAATTGCCATGAGACTTGAGGGCTGGTTTGTTTCTTTAGGAATTATTGTTCACCAGTTTAGAAAAGCACATAATCAGTGCAAGGCAGAACCTGCATTTGAATGGCCATTACAGCCCACCTGTATCGATCTGACTTTGAAAAATTATGTATATAATTCTGTAGGTAGATTATAGTTTCTATGGATTTCATTTCAGATGGGAAGAGGCAATGCAAAATATTTGTTGTAAGAAGGCTATGTTGGATCTGATTGGGCTATAATCCATTGTTCTAAAGATTCCCCCAGAGATCCTTCTTGAGCTCTAATACCCTCTGGGGCTGTGAGAGTTGAAAAGAGATTCACCTGGCATGAAAAATGGAAAACATGCAGCAGAAATGGATCAAGGCAAATCAATGTCCCCAAATTAAGTAGAGTCCGTAGCAGTAACGTGCTACACTACAAGCTTGTAGTGTAGGCCTTGATTTTGGACTCCGTGTCCACATAGGATTCAAGATCAGAACCCCTTAGTTATGTAGCTACATGAATCTTAACTCAGCACAGACCATACTGTACGTGGAAGCTTCCCTCACGGCCCCTTTCCTCCTATCTGAAATCCTTCTTCCAGCCCTGTTTCCACGATGTCATTTTAGCAGAATTAAACCTGAACAGCCCAAAATCATATAATTAATTACATTCAGCTTCAATTACAATTACTAATTGATCAAAGCTTGCTAGCACAACACTTTCATTATTTGGCAGACAATTATTGAGCGCCTACTTTGTGCTGGGAATAAAGTAGGAAATGGTCAATTTCTCCCGAGGTGGGAGGATGGGGTGGGGGTTAGAGTTGTCATGAAAGGCCCCCTAGGGACTTAGGGTGGGGGCAAGGGGCAGGTGGGTAAGTCCTGCCTGCTTAGTAGTTCACTTATGAATGTTTATATGCTAAAAACCTTACATGTGTCACCCTCGGAGGTTATACAGGCTGGTTTGAGGCCAGGTGACACATATTCTATCCTAGGTGTCTCTGGGTTTTTCCTGGACTGTGGAATAATAATTAGTTAAGAAATTAATAGATTGTACAAACACCTCCCCCTAAGGTACTCTTAATCATGACACTTGTCTTTCCATTCATAACCCTCTCTCTCTCGGGTTTCTTTTCTGTCTGTCACAGAAGGCCTGGCTACGGGGACCTCACTATGCATTCTTGTTAAATGCAGAATCTGATTTAGTAGGTGGCCACATGTGTCCTCTGACCTCACACCCCTCTGGAATCCGGAGACATAAAAGAGGAGCCAGGAAGGGGGTATAGGACTCCAGTCTGGGAACCAGTGATATCTCCACTTTTATCATTTTTTCTTGGCTGTCTCCCCTCCTACCAGCCTGGAATTTTTTTTTTTTTTTTTTTTTTTTAGTTGGGGTTGGGTGGGGAGAAGTGTCAGAGAGCAGAGAAGGGCGGGGGAGTCTTATTCTTAGTCCTAATATTTTCTCCCAGATCCTTTGCTTAAGTTTGGAGTCTATTGCATTCCCTGAGGGAAGATCCACATAGCTAGCTTTTCGAAATCCAATGCCAGTAAGAGACTCCCTCCCCAACCTCCCCTTCTGGAAGCCTCTGCTCTTCCCAGGCATTCAGCAGAGAGGAGCCTGGTGGCCTTCGCCCAGGAGCCTGGTGGCCACCGCCTGGGCGAAGCAGGGGTGCCTGAGATCTCTCACCAGGAAATCCTGTCTGCTTTGTTTATTTATGGTGATTTTGAAGTTTAGGCAATTCTCTGCCTTCTAGTTATGCTGGGCGTGTGTTGTTGTGTAGCTTTAATTTCTTGTTTTCTCTTGTTTCTGGAGGAAACCTAGGGGGCGGGTCACATAAGGGCAGACATCCTCTGGCATGTGGGAGGTGAAGGGGATAGGAGGCAGAGGGGCCATTTATTTTATTTTATTTTATTTTATTTTATTTTATTTTATTTTACTTTTTTAAAATTTTTTAATGTTTTTTTAAAATTTATTTCTAGGAGAGAGAGAGAGACAGCATGAGCAGGGGAGGGTCAGAGAGAGAGGGAGACACAGAACTGGAAATAGGCTCCAGGCTCTGAGCTGTCAGCACAGAGCCCGACGCAGGGCTCGAACCCACGAACCGTGAGATCATGACCTAAGCGAAAATTGGACGCTTAACCGACTAAGCCACCCAGGCACCAAAGGGGCCATTCAATATCCTGCCAGTTGGAAAGTGTTTCAAAAAGTTTGTGTGGTACTTGCCACACAGAGCTGGATTAAAATTCTGGGCCTGCCCTCTATTATTATTATTATTATTATCATTACTGTTACTATTATTCATTCACTATCTCAAAGAAACTCATCCTTGACAAGTGTACACTCTGATAAGCATGGCTTAAAGAGGCCTGGTACTTTTTTAAAAAAAAGGTTTTATTTAAATTCCAGTTAGTTAACATACAGTATAATATTAGTTTCATGTGTACAATATAGTGATTCGATACTTCCATACATCACCCAGTGCTCATCACAAGTCATCACAAGTGCCCTCCTTAATCCCTATCACCTATTTCACCCATCCTCCCCACCCCCCACCTCCCTTCTGGTAACCATTAGTTTGTTCTCTGTAGTTAAGAGTCTGTTTCTCAGTTTGAAGGAGGCCTTATATTTTAATATTAAATATTTTTCCTTTCATTCTCTTAGGTGGTAGCAGTAACAAATTTCCGGGCTTGGTTTTGAATCCTGATTAAATTCCTAGTCTACTGCCTTGCATACTGTGAGTAGGTGCTCAGTAAATACTTGAAGATAGTTCATATTTTCTATTGCAATCCAAAAATAGTGGGGGCATCTTTTGAATTCTCTTTCTGTTTAGCATATGCACTCAGGCACACCCCATTTTTAAACCACATTCAGCAAGGCTTTCAGTAAGTTTAGAATGTATATTAACTCTCTACTCTTTGTAACAAGTTACTACAAACAGAGAGTAAAGATAGCAGACTTTTTTTTTTTTTTCCCCACGCTTTCTGTGGCTCCAGAGTCCCACAGCTTGTGGTCTCACAAGGCCATATTCAAGGCTGGGAAGTGTCAGCCTGGCTGTGTTCTTTTTTGAGGCTTGGGCTCCTCTTCCAAGTTCATTCAGGTTGTTGGCAGAATTCAGTTCCTTGTGATTAAAGGATAGGGGCCCCCAGCTCTCACAGGCAGTTTGCACAGGCCATTTGCTTCTTCAAGGCCAGCAGGAAAGTATCTGTCTAACCTCAGGAAGGACTCTGCCCTGCCCCTCAAGGGCTCACCTGATTAAACCAGGCCCACCAGGATAATCTCCATTTTGGTTAGTTCTGATTCAACCATACTGCAAAATCCTTTAACATAACGGAATTATGAAGTGGCGTCTCATCATATCCACGGTCTCACCCACATCTACAGAAGAGGATCATACAAGATGGGTTGTATTGGGGGTGGGGGAATCTTGGGGACCATGTTAGAATCAGCCTATGACCACACGTGTTTTCCACTTGTCTATGGCAGTCCAGCAGATATTTTTACAAATACTCCAAAATGTGTTTCTAGGTTGGAGTGGAGATACTCTGGGCCTTGTTGAGGGCAGTGCCTCATAAGCACTTTGTGGTGCTTCTGAGCACCATAAAGTCGATGGCATTAATAGTTTCTAGATGCCAGGTACCCGACAGAGGAGAGCTGAGGTGTGGACCTGTGCATTCCGACTCTCGGGCCTGCTCTTAACCGCCGTGTCCTAAACAGGGTTTAGAAAAATATGCACTGACAAACGAATGCATGATAAATGATTTAAAATGACGATCATGATGGCAAATTGTATGCCTGGCTTGATTCCTCTCCCTCTCTCCGGCTCTCTGTGCCCCCTCCCCCGCCCGCTCTCTGACATAAAATGCTTGGTTACTCAAGGCCACAGTAACAGGATGCTAAGTAAACAGTACCACCCCCCTCCCTTTTCTTTTCAAGACGAGAAAATGGAACAGAGCATTAAGGGAGGAGGCTGTCGCTGCGGTTCGGAGGGCTGGAGGGCCTGTGCGGTGGCCGTGCGGCTGGCGGGCGCCTGGCCCAGACCCCGGCGGGTGGTTGGCGGTCACCGCCACCCGAGAGGACGCTCCGCTCTGCTCCCACCGCGAGCGGTTAGCTGTCGCCAGCGCCTTTTTCTGGGCGCCAGGATGTCCCTGGCCCGGACGTGTCCGGAGTAGACAGTGGGACCCGCCGTGGCCCCTACGGAAACGGGCTCCGAGGCACAGAGGACGGGAGGTCAGGCAGCCGGGGCTCGGCACTGCCTCCCTGCCCTTCCCAAGCCACCGTCTCCCCTCAAACCAGGGCTCGGTTTCTGACCTCCCGCAAGCCGCTCGAGACCCCGCCGGGTGGGCTCGCCCGCCTCCCGCCTCGCCGTGAGCGACTGCAGTACTGGGCCTGCTCGCCAGGGGTCGCAAAGTCCTGGCTCCCGGGGTCAGGCCGGTTCCGGCTCCTGTAGCTGCTCCGGGAATTTGTACACAGACACAGTGTTAGCATATTAAGCCTATAGAAATAAATTTTTTTTTCTTCTTTAAAGAACGACGAGCTCCCATATGTTTTGTAGAAACATGCAGCTCTTTTATATTTGTTCAGAGTACACACAAGGAATAGGCGGCCTTTCCCTCTCAGAACTCATTGCTCGTGTCTTAGACTAGAGCTACCCCTCCCCCACCCCCATACACGCAGGAGTCAGAACACAGCCCAGCCCTCACCAACTGGGTCATCTCGTTCCTCTGACCACATTCATGGGTTAGGCACGGTTGCATGAGCTGTACTGGACCAGTCCAACCAAGTACCCTCTGAAACTTTCCTCTTCTCAATTTCTGGGGAGAGGTGCTCTTCCTTCTGAGGCTGAGCTGGACTCTGGCTGCTGACAGCTGTTCTTATCCCTAGAGATAAGAATCTTGTCTGAGAAATGGAAATGCAGGCAGAGCCCTAGTGATATCAGCTGAGCTCCTGGATACCACTATGCCTGAAGCCTTTGCTGCTGCACGTTGTGAGTATATATAAAAATACCACCCCGCCCCCTTTTTTGGCTTAAGCTGGGATCAGCTGGTATTCTGTCCCGTGTGACTGAAAAGTTCTTATATAAGAATTGACATTCTGGAAAGTTCTACCATGTGCCAGGCACTGGGCTTCAAAAACTTACCTGTTTTAATCATTTGTTTAAGGGCCTTGCATGGTAAGCATGATTAGTCTTATATCAGTCTTACAAGCTGGGAGAGGGAGGCTGAGAACAGCTAAGTAGTAGAGTAGATATCCTGTGCTTTATGCCCTGAACTGGTGTGATACTTATTATCTTTGCTCTTCCTTGGTATTTGGGGTCGTACTACCTGGTAGTATTATTTCACCTCTCTGTGAACTTATGTCTGACCAAACTGTCTAAATTGTAAAATTCTCGATGGCAGGGGTCATGACTATGTTTGCTGACCCCAGTGCCATTACCACTATGCAAGCAGTAACACCTACCATTGGGTGAGGGACATCATAAATCTTGAACAAACTCTTACTGAACTCATAACATGTCCATGGCCCTTCACTAAAGCCTTGTCATAGTACAGGTCATGGAAGAGGAGACCTGTAGTATGCAGTCGCACTTTCTGAGCTAAACAGACTCTGCAATCACTATAACCAATTTTCCCCAGGAGTTGATCCCCATGAATCTCTATCATTCATTCATTCAATATCCATCCATTCTTATTTTTAACAAACCTTTTTCTGAACATTAACATATACCAATGATAAGATTCAGGATACTGAGTGAATAAGACATGACTCCTGCCTTCAAGGATCTTAAATGTAATTACCTTTTAATTCCCCCGAAGCACATTTCCCAAATCATTGGCAAGTCATTGTTGCAATGGCTGACCACCTCTCTGGATGGTTCATCACTGGGGCTCAAGCATTATCCAGGAAGGGAAAGGCAGCCCCTATAGTGGACTTCATCAGCTAACTAAGCCCTACTTCAACCAACAGGGCTGCCACAAAGCACAATTTCAGGGGGCACCATTCGCATAGACTGATGACATTCTTAGAAGTTGAGCAGTACACAGCCTGTACAGCTGTACACAGCCTAACCAAACAAGACTCCTTAATGCTGCCCCTTCCTGTTCACAGTCACATTGGTAGAGCACTTTTACAGTTTATAAGGAATCCTATGTACATTATATCAGTTGAACTAAGAAATTATATTTTGGTTCCCATAATGCAATCTCTCTACCCTTCACCTCATGGGATTCTCCGTTGGCTCCATGAGCTTCCTGTAGCCCCCTCTCAGCCGGTGACAGCTCAGCTGAACTGGTGACAATTACCAAGCTCCAAGTCCCATTACTAGCCCCAGGCTTCCTTCCACCCTACAGCACTTACCTGGAATTAGCTGTGGTCGCAGCTCGGCAGAGGTGACTGTGCTGGTGATTACGAACGTACTTCTTGTTTGTCTTTTCAGCCCCGAAATCCTGTCAGTGAGGAGAAGCGATAATAGCATGTTATTAAGTTCTTTCTGGGTAATGTAATTCAGGAGTCAGGAGGCAGCTTGGTCATTTATGTCTTTGAAAAGCTTAGAATAATTTTCAGTGTCATTATCCCCCATTTTAAAGAGCCAGGCTCCAATATAAAAATATATACCCGGCCACTTCTGTGAGTAGATATAGACACACATGTTCTCCTCGGTGTGCCGTGTGGACACGTGGACGCAAAGGTTATGGACAGGTGTGTGGAGAAATCAGCACAAGCTTTAGCTTATTTTTTTCCTGTTAGGTTTTAACTGTATTTTCCTCCTTATTAGGTTTATGTTTCCTACAGTCGAAGTTTCCGAATTAAATTTTATTCTTGACCTCTCCCCTGACATGTGGAGTCTCTGTTTTTACTAATAATTCTAGTGCCAAAAAGAGAAGAACCCTAGTAATGAACATGCATCCAGGACGGGCAGCGCCCCCCCATGGGGACCACATTTTTAGCTGCCCAGGCTTCTCCACAGCTCTCCTTTTCAAGTCCCTAGTTCTTAGTAATCTTCTTGGAGCTGTTGATTCCATCAGAAAAGTCTGTCTGGCAGGCCCCAATTATTTGCTGATTTTTCCACGTGGCCTTGTAGCCTCTGTCCTATGTGCTTATCACCCTTGACTATAGACTATGGAATTTCCAAGCCTGAAGGAACTCGGGGGATTATGTGAGCCAGCCCCCTCTTTGCACAGTGGGGCAGGGGACAGTCAGAGCGCACAGTAACCAGACCAAAGGTCCTGGGAGTTAGTGGCAAAGCCAGGACAGGAACCCATGCTGGTCCTCTGCCCAGAGCTCATTCTGGTAACGTGTTTCAGCCCCTCAGAAGGCCACATTGCCTTGCTCCTTGTATGCTCTTCCCAAATTTCTTGGTGAGCACAGAGATGGAGATTGTAGATGGGACCGTCCACAACCCTGGGACAGTCCTGATCACCTCTCATCAAAGCAGTCGTAGTAAAAACACAAAGACTAAAGCCCAGCTTCAGACCCCAGTTTTGCCAAATGGCCCCAGGCAAGTCCTTAAACCTTTTGTACTCACTTGGTTGTCTGTAAAATTAGGAATAGTAATGGCATTGAACACATCAGGTTGTTGTAAATGAATACATACAGGGCACCTGATGTGTTTTATGCATCGGCTGTTACTCTTAACTGTCACCTGCTTTACAGCATTTTCATCCTGTTCTCACTCAACTCTTCATCTCCAGGTTAGACACTTAACCACGGCTTGTGAGTTTGTATCTCCTGTCTAGAGCTTTACCTCCTCTCTCCAAGGTAATTTCGTCCACTCCCATGGCTTCCCAAAGCTACATCTCCTGGTCTTGTTTACATGAGTATCCTATAGCCCATATTTTAGCTTTGTTCATTCATTTATTCACATAGATATTTACAAAGTGCCTATTACGCTCCAAGCACTGTTCTAGGTGCTAGGGATTTAGCAAAGAAAAAAAAAAAAAGGCTTGAAATCCTCATTCTCATGGACTTTACAGTCCTAGTTGGGAGGAGAGAGGTTGTGGTGTTGGCGGACAAAGGCTCAAATCTTGTCATAATGGGATGAAAAAGCAGGAAGAGGGGATGGGACTTTCTGGAGGGAGGGCAGAAGTGACTAAGTTAAATAAGAAAGGCTTCCTCAATGAGATGGCATTTGAACCCTGAAGAGATGAGGGACCTGACTATCTAGGAGATCATTCCAGGCAGAAGGAATAGCAAGTGCAAAAGCCCTGAGGCTGACGTGTGCTTGGTGGATCTGAGGTACAAGGAGGCTTGTATAACTGGAGTGGAGAATAGAAAGGGAAAGCAGGAGAAATAAGATTGGAGGCTTGTCGGCCAGGAGGGCAAATCAAGAAGGATTTAGTAGGCTATCAAAAAAGCTGGAAGGTACTTAGAGTAATATGGGAATCCAGTGGGCTGTTTTGACTAGAGTGACTTGATGTGACATGTTTGTTTTTTTAATCTTTATTTTGGGGGGGAGAGAGAGAGAGACAGAGTGCAAGCAGGGAAGGAGCAGAGAGAGGAAGACACAGAATCCGAAGCAGGTTCCAGGCTCTGCTGACAGCACAGAGCCTGACGCGGTGCTCAAATTCATGAATAACAAGACTGTGACCTAAGCTGAAGTCGGATGCTACTCCCACTGAGCCACCCAGGCGCCCCATGTGTGACTTATGTTTTAGTGGAATACTTTTGGCAGGGATGCTGTGAGTAGTTGGTAGGGAGTAAGAGTGAAAGCAGGGAGATCATTTGGAGGCCACTATAATAAGCCAGGACCCATGATGGGGCTGCAAACATCGTGTTCTGGATAGACCTTTAAAGAAGATCCAGTAGGTTGCTGAGGATTGGATGAGGGGTAATGGGGAATAGGAATCAAGGAGGACTGCCTGGTTTGTGGCCTGGGCAGCTGGTTAGATGGTGCTCTGTTATTTACTGAGATAGAACAGTGGGTGGTGAAGGTTCTTTTTTTTTTTTTTTTTAATGTTTAAAAAAAGCCCAGAGCCTGATGTGGGGCTCAGACTCATAAACCATGAGATCATGACCTGAGCCAAAATTCAGACACTTCACTGACTGAGCCACCCAGGTGCCCCAAAGTTTCTGTTTTTTCGGAAGGGAAGAGTTGAGTTTGGTTTGGACATAGTTAGTCTGAGATGACTTTTAAATATCAAGTGGGGATTTTGAGTGGGGAGAGGTTGGAGCTAGAGATATAAATTTGGGAAACTCAGTGTAGAAAGGTTGAAAGCCATGAGCCTGGACAAGATCATAGGTGAATGGATATCAATCAAGAAGGTTTGAAGCCTGAGGTGCAAGGCAACTAGATAGTACAGAGTTGGGGAGATGAGATGGAACAGACAGAAGGAAGTGTGAGTTAGGAAAAGGAGCACAGTATGAGCTCTGGAAGCCAAAGACAGACAAAGAAGAGGCATGGCCATTTTTGTTAAATGTTGCTAGTAGTATAAATAAAAGAATCAAAGGTTGACAACTGGATTGGCAACGTGGAGGTCTTTGGTGACCTGGTATGATTAGGGGACTGGAGTCCAAGCCTTGAGGTTGCAGCTCTGTGACAGTAAGCCAGTGGTACAATGCACAAGAAAACAATCCTCATGGCTTCTTCTTCTTTTTTTTTTTTTAATGTTTATTTATTTATTTTTGAGAGAGAGAGCACGAGCAGGGGAGGGAGAGAGAGAGAGGGAATGAGAGAATCCCAAGCAGGCTCTGTGCTGTCAATGCAGAGCCTGATGTGGGGCTTGAACTCACAAACATTGAGATCATGACCTGAGCCAAATCAAGAGTCAGATACTTAACCAACTGAGCCACTCATGTGCCTCTATCCTCATGGCTTCTAAACACATGAAAAGATGTTCACTGTCACTGAATGAATGAAATGCAAATTAAATGGCACTAAGATACCTTTTCCACCTGAGGGATTAGTCAAAAGACAAAAAATTTAGTAATACACTGTGTTGCTTATGCTATGAGGAAAAGTGGCAGTTTCCAACTTTGCTGATAGAAATGCAAATTGGTATAAATCTATGGAAGAGTTTATCAGTCTTCAGTTCAGGAAATCAGAACCATTTGAGGTATTTCAAGCAGAAAGGGATTTAATAAAGGGACTCAGATGATGGAGTCCATTGGAAGGACTAGAAGAACAAAATTTAGGATGATAGGATTATGCATGGGTTTCTCTCTCTCTCTCTCTTTCTCTCTCTCTATTGTTCACACTGCCCCAAGCTGTGATCAAGAGGTCTGGAAACCCGTTGCTGCCATCCAGAGATTAGGAAGTCACAGCTAAATTCACAGCTGCCTTGTAGCCCTCAAGCCAGTGATAGGCAGGCTACTGCAAAACTCACAGTGGCCAAAGCCTATGTGTGTTGGCTGCCATCAGAGCCAGATTAAGAACAGCCTCTACCCCTTAGTCTTTCGTGTTTCACTGTGAGCACATCTCAATGGCAACAATTGGTTATATACGAAACCAAACCCAACTTCCAGTTGGGAAGGAAATCTGGGAAGTGTTGTTCCTGAGTTTCTAAACTCTGTGATATGTATCATATCTCCCTGTGGGAGAATACAGGAGGGCATTGGAAGGGGTGCTGAATGACAGTAGATAGCATCTCATATGATCCAGCCATTGGGCTTCCCAGCATCCATATGTGCCCTGTTGTCCATATTTAAATTCCCCACGCAACAATACAACAACAACATGTTTCCATCTAAAAGAAAGCATAGTTAAACAAAATAATGCAAACAAGAAGGTAGCCACTCTGTCCCCAAAGAGGAAAGACCCGAAGACTCATTAGTCATGGTGTCTATCTCTGGCTGGTGTTTTTTCACCTTCTCATTCAGTCACAACCCATCTGATATTCTAAAGACTAAATTATAAAGTCAGCTACCACAAACACTCTTTATATAAAATAATAAGGGGAGGAAAGAGGAAGAAAATACCTTCCTGTCTCTGCCATCTATCCCTTACTCCTTTCTCCCTCAGCCAGCATTCAGCTATTCAGGGTACAGTATCTGGTGGAATGATCCAAGCCTGCCTTCCTGAAGGATGTAGTCACTTGGTGATTCTGCCTGCATTTGGTTACTGTAGGTTTCAATTACTTTTCCTAATGGACATAGAGGTACATGTAGGCATCCCAAAGAATCCTGTCATTCCAGACATATTCCTCTCAGGTCACCACTGAGTAGCATCAGTCTTATTTTCCCTTGACAGTTAAGATCACTCAGAACTGAATTCTGCCAATGACTTTAATGAGGTTAGAAGAGGAGCCTGGGCTCCAGATGGAAATGGAGCCTGCTGACACCTTGATTTTAGCTTTGTGATACCCTGAGCAGAGAATGTAGCAATGCCATGCCTGACTTCCCACCTGCAGAACTGTGAGCTAATAAGTAGGTGTTGCTTTAAGCCTCCAAGTTTGTAGTAATTCGTTGCACAGCAATAGAAAACTAATACACATTCGGAGATGAGAAAGCTACAGGAACCCAATGTTCAAAATTAGTATCATTAATAGTGGGACAACTAGACATTACTTAAGGATGTGATAAGAAGTTCAATGGAAAGTTCACAGCATCACTTTAAACTATTTTGACCAGTGGTGTTAAATCTGAATCAAGCCAAGCTTTCAGATTACATGACTGTTTGCATTTGTCAAAATGCAAAGAACTGTAAAGTAAAAAGGATGATGTTTACTATATATAAATTATACCTCAATAAGTCTGACCTGAAAAACCCTTTTGATCTACCTCATTTTACAGGAAATAACAGGGATAACTAAATGGCAGCCTAAGGAAATAGATGTATTTAGAATGTGGGACATTCTACATGACAGCTGGCCTGATCTCTTCAGAGAGTCAATGTCGTGAGGGGTGTTGTCCCAAATAAGACAAGATTTAAGAGGCATAATGAATAAATACATTGCATGCACCTATTGGATCCTGGTTTCAAAGAAGTAACTATAAAATATATTTTTAAGATAGTTGTAGAAATTTGAACATGAAGTGAATTTTAGGTGATAGTAGGAAATTATTGCTACTTTTGTTAGGGATATTATTGGTGAAGATACGTATTAGGGGTGAATTGTCATGATCTTTTTAATTTACCATAAAATGATTCAATTATGAGGCAAAAAAATGGCAAGATATTAATGATGGCTGAAACTGGGTGGATAGTATATAGGTGTTCATTGTATTCTCTTTTTAGTTGTTTTTTTCTTAAAATTTTTTTTTAATGTTTTATTTATTTCTAGGAGAGAGAGAGAGAGAGACAGTGTGAGCAGGGGAGGGTCAGAGAGAGAGGGAGTCACAGACTGAAACAGGCTCCAGGCTCTGAGCTGGCAGTCAGCACAGAGCCCGACGCAGGGCTCGAACCCACGAACCGCGAGATCATGACCTAAGCGAAAGTCGGACGCTTAACCGACTAAGCCACCCAGGCGCCCCTTTCTTAAAATTTTTTATACTTTATTTATTTTTGAGACAGAGAGAGACAGAGCATGAGTGGGGGAGGGGCAGAGAGAGAGAGAGACAGAGAATCTGAAACAGGGTCCAGGCTCTGAGCTGTCAGCACAGAGCCTGATGCGGGGCTTGAACCCACGAACCGTGAGATCTGACCTGAGCTGAAGTCAGGCACTTAACTGACTGAGCCACCCAGGCGCCCCTATTATATTCTTTTCTTTCCTGCATGTGTGAGATTAAAACTGAAATTACACTGAAACAAACAAAGGGCAGATGAAGGCTGTTCCTGGACCTAGCCAGCTGCCCTACCCAGCCTGGAGATCTAAAGTGGATGATGGATGGACTGCACAATATGGAGCCTTATAGCAAAAAGTCATATGTACTGAAACAGACACCCCAGCGACTGCCACTGGCAAATGAAGAAGGGCTTTCTGTCT